CTAGAAAGTTTTGCTACCAGAAGTTCTGCCAACATACCGCAACCACCACTGCTAAGCTGCCAGAGCATGGAAACAGCACCCTACTTCTGATGGTGCCACTTATCTCTGCTAAAGCAGCTGTGCAGGCTGAACATGAAACACCTCTTGGTGGTCTTTGTTCTCCTTGGAACCAAGCTAGTGCATTATGGGATGGACGTAAGCAGCATTACAGGATGTTTAAGCTTCCCTGAGGGCATTGTGGGCAAGCAGAGGCTTCTACCTCCAGTGCATTTCTCTCAACCTTGGCTCTTTCACATCTGCACTTGCCACTTTTCAAATGCCTACTGTCTGCCACAATCCCTGTCCCCACTTGTCCTCACAGAGACCCTCTAACTTCATTGAGTCCTTCCTCATTCTGACTCATGCCATACTGTGTATTTGCTTCACCTGAGCAATAGGAATAAGCAACAGCAGTACTGGGCAGCCACAGAGGAGCAATGGGCAGAAAGTGGGCACTGCAGCAAATGGCTAGGAGTTGCTGGCTTCTGGAGGTGGACATAGATCACTTGTGCACCAGTTCTGGACTTGAGAGACTACCAGGGATTAGTTAGATTGGTTAAACTGTCCTGCAAGTATGACCTGTTGCCTATGGAAAGCCACTTTTCTCAATCTCTGGGCTGTGCTACGATGGTCTAACACAGAGCTAAGTGCACCTTTGCCTGTCAAGGAAACACACGTGATGGTTTCTACTGTTTCTACAAAGCTGGGACTGAACAGGCCCTCACCCAAAGGCTGAGGATATCCAAAACCTCCCTCCTGCTCCAGATAGTCAGCATATCTATTGGCCAAGACAAGCTTGGAGCTAAGGCCTATCTCACGTGTGTGGTGCCAGCCCTCCCAAACACGCTGGCAATGAGTGATGGTTTTCAAAATGGTGGTCTGCTGGGCTTTTAAAGTGGGCTCAGGTTTCCGGTCAGTTTGAACTGTGGCCAGTAAAGTTCAGGTTGGCTCAGTATGAGAAAGTATGGGATTGCTGAGAGAGGCCTGCTAAGGATAACTGAGTCTACACAGGCCTTTTGCTCATTGCCATGTGGCATGGGAGGTCTTCTGTCATTCAGAGAGATGCTGTCTCATGGCTGGAAAAATGAGGGGTTCTGCTGCCTTACAGGGAATGTGCGTGTAGACTTGTGCAAACTTCTGCTGGTGGAAATTTGTGGTGTAAACTGGGTCTACCCATATTTGAAGCTGAATTACATCAGTGTGGTTCATCTCTAATCAAATCTTGCCTCTTTCTTGTTTTGCTTCCTCTTCCTTATCTTCTAAGTTTCTCCTTTCTCTCATGCTATATTTTTCTTTAATTTTTCTAGCTGTTCTTTTCCTTCCTCTCCTCCAATTGTTTCTCTCCCCTCCACTATTTCCCTCTTTTTACTTCCCTTTTACATTGTCCCCCAGCTGTTCCATTTTGTCCTCTCATCTCTCACCCATACTTTACACTTTGTGCTGATTAATACTGGTATCTGCTTCATTAAAGGTGCTAGTTTGAAGGGATTAGAGACTAGAGTCTTATATTTAATTGCAGAATAAATACAGGACAGCCAGCAGCAACTCAAGCTTTCCCCACAGTAATGTATCAATCTATCTCAAACCTTATCTGGACTAACACCCTCAAAGAAAGAAATAGTAATACCTAACTCTTTCATAGTGCCTCTCATTAACCAATTTCAAAGTTTTTTACAGAAGAGGTAGATCTCATTCTCTCCATTTTGCAGAAGGAGAAACTGAGGCATAGAGTTGCTTCAAACCTGGCATCTAAGCACCCAGACTAGGGACAGAAGTTATATATAAACTGGCTTAAGTCATTGGAAACTGATTTAACCCTATAACAGAACAGAAGCTCAGTGCATATAAAAGTTTCAAAATGGCTGAATCTGGTTTAATATAAATCTGGTTGAATGTAGTATCAGACTTAACTGATTTGTGTCAAACCAGTTTATGAAATTTCCCACACCCCTTCCCAATTTAGGTTAAATCAGAGCCCCCCAGCATACTTTGCAGCCTTGGGCTGGGCTAAGATGTCTGGGCCAGCAGAGAAGGGTTGGGGGGGAAGAGGCAAGGACTGCCCCTCCCAGCCAAACCCAGGCTGGGTTCTTGGGCAGGGAAGGGGGTTACATTTCCCTTCCCCTGGTTAAACCCTCCCTTTCCCAGAGTACAGAGCTGCCCGACTGCTAAACTTACTGGAAGTTACTGCTGGCTGCGACTGTGAACTACAAATCCTAGAAGCACCTGGAAGCAGGAAGAAGTAATGAGCAACCCTGCAGAGTCTTGCCTCTGTGCTGTTGGACTGCAAATCCCAGAGACCTCTGGGGCAGTAGGAAGAGGAAGTGCCAGAGAGCCCTTCTCTAGCACCAGCCCAGCTTCTGACCTGAACCACTGCAGGCATATGGCTGCAGTTCCTGAATCAAAGGTAAAAATGTGTGTCCAGTTGTTTCTCAGTTTACTCTTTGCAATTTAGACTAACCTGCAAAGACTGACTGGATTCAGCCTTGGGGTTTTTGGCTTAGCCTCCAGTCTACTGTTCTAGCCAGTAGGCAACACGGTCTTTATAAGGCAATGCAGTTCTCACACTTAGGAGCATGCCATCAAAAGAGCTACTTTGTCAGTTTGTGATAAGGGTGTCTGTTTTCTGAAAAATCATCTAGGGCCACAGATCTATTGTGTGCTGATAACTGCTCATCAGTTGATTAACTAGAGTTGATTAAACATCTTCCAGTGAGTGCTGTCCTGATTTAGAAATCAGCTGAGCCTATAAGGTTTTGTTCCCCTTTACCAGTCCCCTGAATTATTCATTCCCTTGGAAGTAAGGGAGTAGACTTCTTTTTCTTCCATTTTTTTTTTTTATTAAACCCGAAGAACTGATTTCCATTTGCCTAGTAATAGATTTTGTTCTTCTCCTTAAGTCACCCTTGGTTTGATAAACACGGGCACTCCCAGTTGGTGCCTCCAAACAGCCTTGCTAGAGAGAAAACCAAAGAGGAAAGCAAAGCTCAGAAGAGCTAATAAAACATTTTCTGAAGGGCTTGAATCTCTCATTCCAAAGCAAACAAAGAGGTTGAATGACCTTTCAACCTGACCTCACTTTTTTCTGAGGCATTAAGAAAAACATTCTGAAAACAATGAGTGTTCATGCTAATTGTCCCTCCCCTGTGCCCCAGCTCCTGCCAAAAGCAACATTTCAGTGGCCATGGGGGGTGGAGGTTGCAAGAGAATGAAAGCAAATGAGTAAGCAAGCAAATGCTGGTTTTCACACATCAGTGACTGACTGCATTGTTGACCAGATCCAAGGAGGTTCAAGGTGAGGGAGTCAAGAACACAAACTATAACTGGGTGTTTTGTGGCTGTGGGTACCTGAGACACTGTAAGCAAAGTGGAGTGTTGAAATCCTGTGTCAGTAGCCTTTCAACTGACGGGTCAATGGGTAAGGAAAAAGGGCTGCATGATGAAATCAGGCTAAATTTGAATCTGCATTTATCTGATCTGCACCAACAGTTACCAAACAACTAGTCATCTGACTACTGGAAATCTTCAATGATTTTTACAGACCAAAATCTGTCCTGCTGTATAGCAGTCTGTATTGACTCTTGTGCCAGTGTAGGAAAGAAGCCTGACTTATGGATAGCTGCATGTTAGAAAGAAAAGTTTCCAGCTGCAAAAGGAATCAAGCTAATCAAGACTGAGTTCACTCGTGACTCTGGAACATGTTCCACTGTGCAATTTTTTTGGAGTGTTTCTCTGCCATAAAAGCATGGTTGTCGTCTAAGAGAGGCCTCCCACTTTCACTTCCCTCATTAGGAGTGATGACAGGCCTCCAGCCTAAATGTCTACTCAGCTCCCTAACTGTGTAGGGAACGTAGAACTCTCACAATTCCTGATTCTGACCTTAATTTGTCTTATGATTTGAGCAAGTTCCTTTCTACACATGGGGATTTTTTATTTTTTTAAAGAAAAGTTTCCAGTTGCCAAGATTGGTACAGTTGGGGTTAGTGCTGCCCAGAGCTTCTGGATAAGTTAATCTGTGGCTGTGACCACTGTTTTCAGGACTCTACTTCAGGAATTGTCTGCTCTAGGAATCCCCACCCTGCTAACTCTGAAGCAGTTCTAGAAAATGACTGTGGTATAGTCAAGGTCTTTCTTTACCCTGTGGGCCTGGTTCATCCACTGATCTCCAAGTACTTTACAAAACTGGGTTACAGATGAAGAAAGATGGTCAAGTCTAGAAATGCAACATAACAGTATCTGACCTGCTGAACTTCTTTGGGTTTAAGTTTTGTCAGTTCTCTGTTGTTCAGTGCCAGTGGAACTAGCAAACGAACCTGGGAACAGAAAGGTTTCTACACCAGAACCACAGTGTAAAAATCAGTGACCCTGAGAACGGACTTCATAATTCCTAACGAGCACAGAGTGGGTTTAGGTGCTATTGCAAAAGTGGAGGGGTAGGTTAAAAAGGTTAAATAAACAATTAATCTTGGACCTTTTTGTTACCCTTAAGATTTATTGCTACTATGCAGTAGGAGTTTCTAAGGCAAAGTGTAGCTCTGTGACTCTTCCTTAAGACTGTTAACTCAATATAAAAAATATTGGCCCTTTTTTTTTTTTTTAAATAAGAAAAAGTAACTTGGAGCTGAGCTTTTGTTAGCAATGTTCAGTTCATTAAACAATGACTCAGCCTGGGTTTAGCAGTGGGGGATCTGGCTTTTCCTCCAAACTAGGATCAAGATGCCCTGTTTCATCATAATTTACCTCTCAACTGTTCCACATTGCAAAATTAAGATTTACCTTCATCCTACACAAACCCGATATTCTCACACTTTTGTTATTGTAAATTATTTACTTTAGAAATGCTGAATCATGACACTTGAGGTTAGAAAAAAATGGTACTTATGGTTAAAGTTATTCCCACATCATTTTAAGGTCTCTGTACTATTATTTTGCTTATGCTTTAAACACTATTTGAACCATAAAAGATTAAGTGGTACTTTGGATTTGGCTCCCTTTACCCTCAGTGAATCTGGTGCTATCAAAAGATGCCATTTTAATATTATTTGGAATACAGGTAGTCTCTGTCTTTAGACAACGGGAATCGTATGGATTCTCCAGTGCAAACTTCTTACACATTGACTTCTTTATATATTGAGAATGTAGTCAGACCACAATGTCCGTTCAGTCCTTGGTCTTGTGGGCTAGGGACATTCAAAAAGCCTGAGCCTAAATTGATTCAGTCTTTTCGGGTTAGTCTAAACTGGCTATGCTGAACCAGTTTGTAAATGTATAGACATTTCCTGTGGACTGAGGAAAATGCAGGCACATGTCTGCAGTGGCTCAGGCTGGAAGCT